GTGTGAAGCGGGACTTTGCATTAACACATGAGAATCGATGCCCTCGATATTGTTGTTGATGATTCGAGAGTAAATCAGTCGCAACGATTTCCTTGTATAACCCGCAATCTTTCTACATCAGTTCAAACGGGTCGCTCGCTTCTCAAAATAAGATCAGCGAAACTAGCCGTTTATCCATTGATAATCGTGTGACTCAAAGACTAGTTGTTAAGAGAGTAGATCGCAGTTTTATTCGATCCTGTCATTTTTTCTTAACAAGTTATTTATTTAAACCATCTGTATTTTATTTGTTGACATTTACTAGTTGTTGTCTATTTTTTCCACTAATTACACATTTCATCCCAAGAGAGAGCTTAGTCACATCAGTTCTCTGTATCCTGGAAGACCATCCGTTGACATTCTTGTTTTGCTGCTCAGAGACATTCAATATTGACTCCAAAAATGAACTTCACTAAGAACGAATATCTTCAATCGATTTTGCACGTTGATTTATCGTGGGAATACAATGTCCTTTGGAAAATGCCTGAGGAGATATTAAAGTATGAAAATAAAGGTCATGAAAATGATTAATTCCTTCTCTTTCTCTTTCTCGCCTAGTTAGGATATATACATGATCTAGACAGTTAAAAAACAAGTCGTAGACTAGGATCTCCATATTAGTTTTTCTTTCTCTTTCTTTTGTTTTTCTATGATTGATTATCATATGCAACTAATCTTCGCTGTCGAGTGAACTGGAAAGAAAAATATTCATTGGAAAACGTGGCAATCCATAAACTCGATGAGTGATGATATGACCTTGCTTGAAAACAGCTACAAACATTCATTCTGCTATACTCTATGGATATACTTATATTTGAGTAATTCACTTAATCAAACTAGAACACGATGTGTAAATTCGAAAAATAATCATATCGTGCTTTTTCTTCTTTTCGAGAATAATTATGTTTGGATGTCATCATTATTTTCCTTTGCGATAGCTAGATGATCGATCTTTTATCTTTACACATACTCAAAATTAACTGCTACGCTCGACATCTTAATGGTGAATGTCGGCTTTTCCTACGTCTCGACGTTTTGTTCTTCCATTCTTCTTTTCTCTCTCTCTCTCCCTCTTATCTATTTAGTATTCTATTCTATAACATTGCCGCATGACATCATTTCTACAGTCCTTTTGCTCTTCATAGCGTATTGCTTGTAAAAAACAGCCTTACATCTGGAAAGAAATGTTGTTTTGGAATTTCTCATCATCTTTTCTATTCTATTTCTTTTCCTTCTCACTTGTTAAAGAAAGAAAGAAAACAAAAATGTTCATGGAGAAGTAATATTCGTCCTAGCCAACTATCCACTGTAAACGAGTCATTAAGTTTTACGAGAAACAACAGAGCATAATTCAAAGTTCAAAATGGTGATTTTTATGCCATACTATCGTCAACGCGGGCAGAGTTTTCATTCCAACACGCGTACCCGTCCGTCAACGTCATTAGCAAATGGACAGAATACTTCTGCAGCGACTATTCGAATGAATCGTTGTCGATTTATATCTAACATTCTCTGCCGATTCATCTGCTCACTTTTTCTATTGACTATCGCACTTTTTCTCTTTCAACTGTCGATTGATAATACTTCTAATCAAAAAGAAGGATCCAATATTATTGCTGCTATTCTACTAACAGTCGCAATCATTTCCTTCATACGAACGTGTCAAAAATTAAGACGATACTATATCATTTTAGATACAAGACGTCGACTGATACAGGTACGCGAAGGAGAATGAAGAGGATATTTTTTTTTCTAATTAACTATGCGTATTTCAGAGATTACGTGAACGGCAGCAAGCATACGAGTTGGCTCTTGCGTTAAATAATAGTGAAAATGCTGAGTACGTCATGAAGTTTGTTCTTCGTGTGCAACGATCATTTTTTCGATTTTGTAGATTTCTTCGAAATATTCCTAGTGATCTTCCGTCATATAAAGAACTATTTCCTTCCCAGCCAGATCTGCGTGACACCGGCGCAGATTCCTCGTTATCGTTACCGCCACCATCCTATAACGACTTTATCGAAACACTTGTTATTCCTCATTCTGGTGTGGGTCTTCCAATTACCGCTCATCCTATTTCATTAACGAATACATCTCCGTTGCTCTCATCTTCTCAAATGACAACTAATGCTAATCGATGTCTATGGATTACTGATCAAGCACGAAGACCCCTTTGTATTCGCGGTTCTGTTACATATGTGTAAAGTAGAGCAAAAATTCGTACGAAATAGATTTGCATATGTTCGCAAGATATTTATTTTGGAAAAGTTGCACAAAATAAGAATGACTAAGTGTGTTTTTCTTTTCTACACCATGTTTTGCACTCGACGCTCACGATATTTATGATTGTCGATACCTGATTCAGCATCTGTTTTCTCTCGACTATTATCGGAAAGTTTTGATTTGGGATCAGGAGGTGCACGAGATCTCAGATCACTTATATCCCACACTTTCAAAGAACCATCGACTGATCCACTAAACAATCGATCGTCAACGATCTAAAACAAATCAAAGAAATGAAGAAAAATAAACATGGTAATCAACTTAAGAATTGATTTCGAATAACCTGTATACAATTGACTGCTAATTCATGTGATTTGAAAGCACGTTTCATAACACCCGAACGTGCCTCAAAACATCGTACAATCGCATCACCACAACCAGTAAAGACTAGATCAAATTTATTCTTATTTTCATCATATGCACTTTAATCACCTTACCGAGATCATTTTCAAGCTGAATACACGATACTGAATGATGATGGCCTTTGTATATTCGTATACAATCACCAACATCTATAATCCAACAACGGACAGTATGATCAGCACTGAGCGAATACAATAATTTATTGGCGACCTAAAAAAGCAAAGAGCACCAAAACAATGTATTTACTTATTGAGTTTTCTGTTTGTATTACAAGAATATTAATAACAGGTGCTTGATGAAGATCATAAATACGTAATTCATTTCCTCGATAAATATCCCAAACTCGAATAGTATTATCACCTGAACCTGTGAAGAGCACTTTCCCTTGAGCATCTGTTGCCAGACAAAGTACCGCTCCGACATGACCTTCGAATGTTTTCAAACAATCGCCCGTTTTCAATGACCAAGTTTTGGCGGTTAAATCCTGCGAGCCAGTAATGAGAATATCTTTGGTGTAGATATTCATTTCCTCTTCGAATGTACTTTCTTCCTCTGCATCACGATTTGCCGGGATGAATAACAACGGAAGGAGACCATGATGATGACCGTGAAATGTACGAATACAAGTTCCAGTACGATAATCCCAGCAGCGCGCTGTTCGATCGTACGACGTTGAGAAAATTAACTCTTCTAAACACAAAAGAAAAGTAAATTGCAAATTTTCATTCGATTAAATCTATTGAAAACGTTTTCCCTCTCTTTTCAATTACCAGTACAAGTGATTCGATTAACGATTGATGTATGACCAGTGCAAATAAACACACATCGTGCACTTGGCATGTCCCACTTTCGAATAGTGTGATCAGCACTTGAGCTAACTAAATAACTATCCAGAATAACTATATGTGTAATGTAATCCGCATGACCAGCAAGAACAGTGAGATATTCTACAGATTCAGTTCTTGTGCTCCATAGTCGTATGGTGTTATCGTCCGAGCCAGTTGCCAGTACACTAGTGTCATCACTTAATGTCATACAGTTAATGCCACTTTCATGGTTTTCTAGTGTTTGCAAAAGCCAGTTCTCACGGCGGCCAGCGTGATGTTTTGATACAACAGTACCCATATGAAAACTGAATTCAATCAATTCCGAAGAAAAACGACTCCGATCGATGTTATGAGAAACAAAACCAATACCAATATACCAGGTTTTTCTCTTCTTCTTTTTCGTAATTCAGAAGTGTTTTGTCGTTCTATTGCTATGCTCATGAATTAAGCACAAAAATCTCACGAGACAAGTCAAAAGTAGGAGTAATATAAATTACATGAACACCTTGTTATTCTCGTCTTCTGTGTTGCTGAGTACTGAAAAATCGCACTGAACTTTTTCCTATGTGTCTATAAATTAATTTCATAACATGGCAAATTAGTTTTCTTTCTTCTTTTCTCTTCTCTTTGTTAATCAATGAATCTTTGATCATGGACAAAGAAAAACCTTGAATGAGACTTGGATGGTTTGCCAATTGTATCGAATAACAATGAATGTTTGTGTTTTAAATCTATGCATCTTTAGGTTCAAATGACAAAAACATTATGAATAAATCTTTTCGTTCTCCTCATTATCTTCCTTCGTTCTTTCTCTCTCTTTTGATTTGCCTTTGATGCTAATCCCACTCACACATACAAATCACAAGTTCACATGTGTGTTTTTTTTTTCGTTAAATAAACGAAGGTTTACAGTATGTAATATGTCAAATTGACTAAAAATGATTTCTCTTCGTCGTTTCTACTCTTCAATTATTGTATGCAAGTCTAGAATAATTTATGTCAATGATGTAACATATGCAATCTATCCCAGATGGCAAATTGTTCATTTGTCAGCATCGTCTTTTGTAAAATATGCATCGACATCAAAGTTTAATGGCACAGCATCACCTTCTCTCCTTCTCTTACTCTTTCTCTCGTTATCCGCCTTCGTTTTCTCTTTCTGCTTTCACTTGCTCATTCACAATAAAATTTTAATCATCTCTAAACGAAACTTTGCAAGGATAATTTATGCTCGAACAACATATGTGAGTGTAGATTTCTTCAGTTTCTTTTCTCTCCTTTTTTTCATGATGATGATCATCATCACCACCATCGTCGCCAGCGTTCTGCTTGTAGTGAATGACCTGAGCAAAGATGTATGTACAAAGAATAAACACTTCTTGCACTATTCTATTGATCATGAGAGAGAAAGAAAGAAAGAAAGAAAGAGAATTGTCGTCATTCATTGAATTTTGATAGTTGGCTTGGTTCTAACCTCTTCGATCGGATATGAAGAAAGAAAAAGTAGGCGTCTCTCTCTGTCTCTTTCCCTTTTCTACTCAGCTCATTTCCATTGTACTTTTCGTAGTACAAACATCAAAATACTGATTAGCACGTTAGTGATCGATGTAAGAAACAAAACAAGGATACATTCTTTCTTCGAAAAAAGAAAACGAATCTTCATACAGTTTTACATTCCGTATCTGTTTTCTCCTTCGCCTTTTTTCTTCGATATCGCAAAGAAACCGACTACGTAGATGCAGATATACATCTAGAAATGTCAAATCTGTGCAGTAAGGGTGAGTTATGATATTTACAAACGGTTGATTGTCTTCATCGTCTTTACCACTTTTTTTTCATTTCCTTTCAATGTGTTTGTGCTTTCTTTTGACCTACAACAGATATACAAATACAATGCTCGAAAACACGTCATCACTTTCGTCATCGTCGTGAACATACGATACTAGAACCAACACTCGCTAGACATTTCTATTCAAGCTGAATATCCAACTTGAAATCATACGTAAACGCGTCTCAATTGCTCTTTTGTTCGAAGTTAAACGAAGGAAATCGATGTCTGGTTTTGGACGATGGATGCCTGATGTATTATATTCATTCAGATCGCTGGAAAGACGATAGTATTGTCGTATTTGTCGTATTGATAAAAGAAATTGATGTTCTTTTTTCACATCGTTAGCATATAATTCCAGTGCCTTTTTTTCTAGATGCGTAGGTAGAGCATATATTTACGATATCCGCTCTCTGATTCTTTGTGAGTAATATTCGCTTATGAAAAACTAATCCATATATAACATTCGAGAAGAAAAAAAAGTATACTGACTATCAAAATGCAAGTTCTACTCTTTATGTCATCATTTTCGACTAACGTGTACACTTTTGTTATAAAACTATTATAGTCATTCAATCGTTTGCTGTATCAGATTTTACTGTTTATTTCCTGAGATCATAAAAACGAGAGGGGAGGGGGACGAGGCCAGTACCAACTGCTCTTCTGCTCAAAATTACATTCTATTTGCATATATTCAATAGTCTGATTCTTCTCTCCTTCTTTTTTTGTCAAGATTCTCGTTGGTATGTGTGCTTTTGAGTTTAACAGAATAGTACCAGTAAACGAGAGTCGGAGAATGATTCGTTTTTTGTTCTTATTCTTCTCCCTCATCGTCGTCGTTTTCTATATTTGATGCGTTTAATAAAGAAAAAACGATGCCCTTTTTTCAATAGAAATATGAGAGCAGATGCGTGTGAGTCTTCTCATAATGAGTCATCTGTATATATAGACATACGAATATATATATATATATATGCGCTGTTTTAAACGAATATCTAATGAAGATACGATTTTCTTTTCAATAGATTACTTATAAAGAAATATTCATCATGGGTCATGGAGGTATGAGTTGTGGAATGAAGACAGCACGTTGTCTAATGGTACTATTCAATATTGTCTTTTTCGTAAGTAGTTGTTTGGTTTCTCAAGTTTTGTCTCGATTGAAAAAGGGTGTTTGTTTAGTTAATTGGTGCTGTACTTCTTGCACTGGGCATATACGTGATGGTTGATCCACGATTTCAAAAATTAAAAGAAATTTTACCACTTAATACAAGTATGTTGAGGGTGAAAAGAAATGTTTGTCATCGAAGTTTCCGTTTTCAGATGCGGGATTAGAACGAGGCTTGTCGTATCTTGAAATGATGGCCATCGTTGTGATCATTTTGGGCTCAGTTCTTTTAATAATCGGATTTCTCGGATGTTGTGGAGCAATGAAACAAGTGAAATTATTTCTCACATGCGTAAGTGCAACTCAACTAATAGTTTCAATTCCGATAAGAATTGAATTTAGTATGCCATCATTGTTGCCCTGATTATAATCTTTGAAGTGGCCATAACAATTTATTTCGTTGTGTTTCAATCGAATTTTAAAGAGAGTTTCGTACCAAAATTAAAGGACTCCTTGCGAGACAATTACCAAGGACCACTAGGAGTAGCTGGCTATGGACCCAAACCAACAGCTTACTCATTAGCATGGGACTTCATTATGTACAATGTATGTAATCATAATTGTTGCTTGATGAAGAGTCTCATTCGATTTAATTTCAGCTGAAATGTTGTGGTGTGGAAAATAATGCAGATTTTAATGGAGCTGTGCAATGGAACCGTTCAAATCCATGGGCAGATCCTTTGGTACCACAATCTGCATTATTTCGCTATCCATTGACATGCTGTCCGTTTCCAAACGGTCAATCGAATTGGAATAGTTTACCTGTCGACCAACTGAATGAAGTTGCACAGTGCGCTGTGAGTGGCACAGGTGTTTACGAAACGGTCAGTTTGATTTGTTCGTAGATGAAACTTGACCTGAGAGATTATGATTTTTTTTCAGGGTTGCTATAATAAAGTCGTCGAAGTGCTCAATTCTGCCAAGACTTGGGTTATTGTTGGCGCTGTCATCATCCTTGTCATTGAGGTAAATACCTAATTTCCTTGAAGATATTCGTTGTCTTCATCGTGCTGTGTTTAGTTAATAACATTCATCTTTACTTTGGCTTTATGTTGTCGTCATAAGAAAGATACCATCTATTATTCGTCGTAAGGGTATTCAACAAGAGAAGAAACTTACAGTGTGCTGAAAAGAAAAGACATATATTTTTTGTTGCTCGTGTTTTTCTCCTTAGTTGTCCGTTGGAATGAATGTAATTCAGATATATTTTTCTTTTTGTGTCTGTATGGTAAGAAACGAAGAAGAATGGAAGTTCATCTTGTCTGACATCGAAAGATTTTTATCAAATAATCATTGTCGTCCGTTTTCTTTCTGTGCTTTTGATTGTACATGTTATTGCACTCTTTTCTTCTTTGAGAATGTTTTTACTAAACTGTTTTCGTTTTCTTTCCCAACTATTTACTTGTTTATAATCGTTCTTTTTTTGGCATGATTTTCGAAAATTAAAACGAATAAACACAATGAAAATGAAAAGCTGACATTCGGCGAAGATCAATACAAATGGTAAGTCAAGAATTTGAATGCGTTTCAGATTTATAAAAAGGATTGATTCAGAGCATTGATGTCGAAATTAATGTAGAAAAGAATGTTCGACAATGCTGCCGGATGAATTTCAATGTTTTTGCAATACTAATAAGGTGTATGCTAATCGTGTAACTTGAAAGAAAAGAATATTTTCATAGAAATTTGAGCTACTCAGAAGGACAAGATGTACTCTTTACTTAGAAATCTGGGTGTTTTGTTTCTTGTCATTGCATAAAGCTTAGCGATTTCGTTGAATTTAATCAACGATTGTCAATATTACTTCGGTTCCATCTATTGCTCAAATCAATTCAGATACAACTGAGTCGAAAACTTCGTGCATTATTGTTAATTCAATATCAATAGTGGTATTTACTAAAATTGATCGGTCAGAGAAGATATTTCTAATTTTCTTTGCACGCTTCTCTACAAATTCTACACTTTTAGCGAAGAATCACTTTCGTCGGGACTGGAATTTCTCTGATCGCCGACAGTCATGTTTTACATTTATAGTAGCATTATTTCCCGTACAGATTCGATCGTAGGTATTCTTTGCACTGTAGGATTCGCTTACTGTTGATTAAGTGTACTCGGTAATCGCAAACTGGCCTGTACTATTCAAAGTCTTCCCCTAGAAAAGGTATGCAACTGCCGCCACATGAGTCATCATTATGTAAGGTTTTTGACAAACATATTTTTGATTGACAGAGACATAATTTTGTATGTAAAATGTAATGCTATGGATCATTTTACTTTTTATGATTCACTCCAACCATATTTGATAGTCGAAGAGAGCGACGAAAAGTCAATAAACGTCAACCATTCGAGTCTTTTTTCAAAGGTCTTCCACCCACGTATGCGCTTCAATTTTTTCCCACTTTTTTTCTCCTCGATGACATGTAATCTCATATTTTTCTTTCTGACTTGAACTGTGGAGCTTGTATGGATCATCGATGAATCATCTATCGGCAATTTTAACATAAAAACAGGGAATAAGGAAATTGCACTGAATCGATACAAAAGAAAAAGAAACAGTAGTCCTTAAAAAAGAAAAGAAACGCTTTTTACTTTCTCCTATTCACGTTATATTTTACACACAGCATCATAATTGTCCTTCGATAAGTAATGCATGCGCACATCGATGTTTATTCTTTTATTATTATAAAAAGTGTCTTATTCTAATATTGATGTATCCATAGGTATTTTGATGCGAACATGTTGCATTTACTTTTGGTATTCGTCATTATCACGGGTGCGTCATGTGCTAAAATTGAACAAATCGTCGCATCTGCTGGAGAAGCGTTTTCATTCGACTGTCAACTCGATGAATCAGTATTCTTCGCTAAACAACTCGACAATTGGTCTGAAATACAAGAGAATGATAATAAATATACGTCGTTGAATCTAAATTTTAACTATTTGACAAAAGAAAATGTTTTACGTGTAACATCCAATTCCGCTGATTCAAAAAATCTAGGCTATTATGGCTGTCGAAAAGCTACATGGGCCACGCCAAACATGAATCGTATCTACAAATTAGTCATAGCTGGTAACTCACGTTTACCTTTTTCTATCCGATCACGATATGCATATTTGTTTTCAGATGTGCAGTTATTCTACTGGAGTTACACGTGTCATGCTCCGGTCGGTTCATGTGTACGTACTGATGATTCCAACGATGACACATCGAGCACATTCGAAGTCGCTGATCAAACGACTGTCAATTTATATTGCTGTGCTTCTGTGAATGGTTTTAAAGATATCAACGTGAAAATGAATCGAGTTGGCGAAACCCGAGGTGATATCCACATAAAACGAAAACAAGAATTGGACGGTTCATGGGTTGTCTGTGCTAACCAACATACGCTTATCAAGCGAACATCATCGAGAAATCCACAGACGCTGACATGTGAATTAGTGACTGATAACGAGCCATACTCTACATTGTCGAGTTCGATTGTAGTAAAAAGTTTGTTGGCTTTATTTGAAATACGACGGTGAAAGTGAAAGATTCTGTTTTTAGATGCTCTGCCAACTGATCCAGATATTGATTCAGATGACCGTTACCAGCCACCCATGAAAGGCGCTGACGATGGTTACTTCTCAGGAACAGCATCAGACCGTCGTCGAGGAAAAGTAACGACTGGTGTGACTTTGATATTCTTCTGCTTTGAAAAGATCAGATATAGTAAATATTTGGATTTACTTTCCTTTTAGGAAAACGCATTGCTATTATTCTTGGGTCTGTTCTCGGTGGTCTTATTCTTGTTGGACTACTGGCAATTTTAGCATTGTTTCTTTGTTCTAAACGTAGAGGTATGATGTGATGAAAGGAAAACTCGACCATGAAAATAATTATATTGTACCTTTTTTCTGTTTAGCTTCACAAAAAAAGTAAGTGAAAAGATCTACAGTTGTCCATTTTGTTCTACGATATACGGTCTAGTGACTTCTCATCCATTCCAACCAATGAAAAAAACAGCTTACCCGCGAAACAAAATCTCAAAGGTACGTTGTTCACTTTGTCATAGCTCGAACATATGAATGTTCTCGATAATTATCTTTATTTTCAGACGATTCTGATTATCTACAACCAACACCGCTATATGAAAATTCTTCCGTATTCCTTCGAGTTTAACAACTAACTATTTGAACTGTTTTGCACGTACTAATAATGTTTTGTTTTCACATAAAATATGTTCTCTCTTTTTGACATACCCATGAATTTCTGTTGATCTTCAGCATTCAGAATAATCTACCAGTTTGAAAGTTCGGTGCATTTCATTTATGTCATTCTATCTATTAGCAAGCCAAGAGCATTTTAATGAATACTTTCTTACCTTTATTAAATAACAAAGAGTAGTTACAGACGACTAAGAACAATTAAAATTGTTTGACTGATGTTAAAACTTCGACATAAGCCGTATGATCTCAGTTTGATATCGATTATTTGTAGTGTATTTATTTTATGTTAATAAATAAGTGAGATGTGCAAAGAAGACAAGGATAAGTATTTACGTTCTTATAAGGGAAAAGAAAGGGTTTAATATGACTGCAATATGAACAGTGATTCATTTTATCCAAATCATGCGAATTTGGCTTTGAAACGGTCAATAAACTCAAGAAACTTCTTGCGAATATGACCGCCAATTCGCATAAGTTCGTCGCGTAGGTTTTCGAAGAAGTTCTTACTAATAGCGACCGTGGTTGTTTCAACAGTCTCTTCGTGATATGTTGATGCCGTGGGTTTTGTGACTAGTCATAAAATGTATTATAAACATAGAACAATTCGATCGATATTCACTTACGAAGACTTTCACAGACACCACATGTTACTGGTTCGAATTTATCACTACGAAGGACATAGCACCAGGGCCCATCACCCTTATTATCTGGATTTCGACAGTAGTTTTCTGCCTCTTTTACCGACGCGTCATTGAAGAAGTTTGGATCAGTGACAACAGAGGGAAAAATCGTTTGCAAATGACTCCACAGTTCACATTCTTCGCCAAATTTGCTCAATGCCTGTTGGCCAGAGTAATGGATAATACCATCTTTGGTAATACTACAATCTGTCGACGAAAGTCGAGCCAATCTTAAACAATATGAATTCTTTCGACAACAAAGACTTTACCTGCTATACTTCTCGCAGTTGTCGGTGTACTGGTTACACAAGCAACAATAGTGCAGACAATAAGTACATGTAGAAACATATTCGCGTGCAAGGACAAAGATTAACGATGGCTGATATGATATGTTTATGTGCGTAATAATGAGATAGAAACAGAAGAGAAAGAGACGTATGCGACAAAGAAGAAGAAACTAGTTAACTGATGTTTTATCCATATAGATACATCGATATTCGCTTCCCACATATATCAGACAGATGTCGCTAATGGCCAATCAAATCTTTTTTAAAATAAAAATGTGGACAAATAAATTTTTTGCACTTGATTCCATCTGTTTATCATTTGAAAATTGACCCGATCATCTTTTCTCCAAACAGGGATACCATAGGTCAGTTAACTCATTCTATATCAAGTGATTCATACTCGTCTTATCCCATCATATGCGACGTGCATGCGTGACGTTTACACTGAAATATAAATTGCTAGTTTTCATTGGAAATTAAACTATGTCTGCCTTTGTCAAATACATTTTTCAATTATGAATCGAACATTTGGTAATAATTCCTATTCTTCTACGAACTCTCGAATGGCATCAGCACCAGGCACGGACTGGGAAGATTTACGTAAACAAGCTCGTCAACTTGAAAATGAAATTGACGCTAAATTAATGTCATTTTCAAAATTATGTTCAAATTATGTCGCACGTGATCACTCATCTCTTTTACCCTCCTCGCCATCGGCATCGTCCTTTGAAACCATGTCGATGGAAATCGAAAAACTTCTCGAACATTTAGCGGACGTCAACAAACGCATGACCGATGCCGTACCTGCACTGCTCGGTCCAAATACAGCTGCAACACATACATTGCAACGACATCACGAGATTTGTCAAGACTATCGACGTGAATTCGAACGAACGAAAGCAAACATACGAACATTTCAAACACGTGAAGATCTCCTGATCAATAACAACACTGTCACTTCTGACATCAGTTCTCAAGGACTGAACAGTCGCCGACAGGAGCACTACCTACGAGAAATGGAACACTTGAGTAACTCACATAACCTAATCGATAAACAGTTGGAAAGTATGGTCATGTTAAAAGACAATCTATTCGGTCAACGGAAGCATTTCATGAATATTACACATAAAGTCAAAGCCATAGCTAATCGGTCTCCTTTGATGAATAATATTTTGCATAAGATCAAGTTGAAAAAGCGTAAAGATTCTCTTGTACTCGGTTTTGTCATTGCATGTTGTGTTATTTTTCTTTTTTGTTATATGTTTCGATAAATCAAGAAAAAGTAAATAAGAGCAACTTCTCTCTTTTCTGTCCTTTCGCTCTCTCTCTCTCTCTCTCTCTCTCTTTTTTTTTTCTTCTTCATTCATTTATTCATTTGTTCTCAATAAAAAAATAAGCACTCGAATAACACCTTCTTCTATTTCCACTGTTTTAGATATGGATAATGAATGTCATCGTCTACTATATAGAAATTCTTCGATTAGTTTATTTGAGAGTTACATCATCATAGAAAAATTCATCATCGACACACGATTATCATTCGTTGATCAGTACAAGCTATTTGACTTATTAAAAAAGTTACTACCAAATGAAGACAATCAGCTAACTTGTCAAGGCTTTCTTTCGTGGCTCGTCTGGCGTGTAGATCAATACAAAGATCAACAAGATGATGAAAGAGACATTCACACAAACAAAAGATTGTTCGATCAAACAATCAGAGACCAGAATGATGATTCGTTTCATAAACGATTGAGAATGAGTAAGACATCTATTTTGATTATCAACACCGAAACTTATTCATGAAACCATGTTAGTCGTCCTTTTTGCCATTTGAACCTTGTTTACTTATCCTATTTCTTAGTTTTGTGTTGAGATAACCTGAAATTATTGTCAGACACGAGCGAACCTATTTCGTGCTCAACCATTCGAAACTTTTCTATTGTCTCGATTGCTTTTCAATATATTATTTAGGTCGGACGCATTCCGTATCCGAATCATGCAATGACACGTCTTTAACTCACTACACTCAACAGCAACTGGGGCACGATATGAACATGTCTTCAGGTAAAATAAACATATTTTCTTCGTTTTATTTCATCGTATTCAGTTGAACATCTAGGTATTTATCAACAGATCGACCGTTTGCAATCGATCGTCCTTCGTCTTGCATCGAACATTGATGTTCTCAACCAAAAGTCAAGCATTCGAGATAGACCACCGTCTTTTTTCGAAACACATATCAAACACGAACATATCGAAGATGTAGAAGAACGCTTTCCTTTGAAAAATACTTCAGAAACTAATACATTCGATTCTAGAATGAACCCTCAGAGTTGGAGATGGACGATGAACATGACGATGAAGTGTTAGACACAAACCAACATTCGGATGATCCTGCTAGTACATCGACAAATTTGCCATATGCCATTCATCCAATGTCTACGAAAACAATTGTAAGTCATTTTTTCGACGAATTAATAGTATTTCATCTGCGTAATAGATGTACAATGGACGAAATATGATGAAACATCTTCGACCACGGACAACATTGACTAGTTTTGCTCGACATGTTGCTAGCGATCTGTTTTCACGCGAAGAAATCATGGCTAAACTACATGTGGATCACAATAACGAACGAGATGCCCTTCTTCGACGTAGGTTATTTACGATTAACATTTGATTTTCAGTAAAATGTAATTTTTATGCAGACTGCATATGTACAGCTTGGAACTTAAGCGAACAGGAACTGTATTTGATGTGGCCCAAAATTCGGAATGCTTTGTTACAGTTGCGTCGCGATGCGATCGCTGGTAAATGTATTCGTATGGATGGCAAAAGAAGGTCACACGAGCATCAACATCAACAACATAAATCCGACAATTTTCATCATTGCCATAGCGATGACGATGATGATGACACTCCTATCAAGTCTGACCCTTGTACATAGATTTTAGCAGAAGAAATAAACGAAAACTTGACAGCAATCTCGAGTTTTATGCAAATTGTTTCTTACGGTTTCGATTTTAGATAGAAAGTGTTCATCATGCGTTTGTCTTGGATATTGAATGCAGCGAAAGGTGGTCGACAATTATTGGTCAATTGTGAATCACAAGCAACAGGCCATCGGGTGATGCGCATACGTGAGAAAACCCAAGATAAATTAGAGTTTCTACACGTCGATCCATGGATTGATCAAGAAGTTTTGTACAAAGAAACCAGAAAGATCAAAACATTAGAAAAACAAAAAGTCCGCGAACTACACCTTGGCCGAGTAGCATAATGTTCTGTTTTTTGTATTTCATACAAAATAAATAGCATAGGTATATACGCATCACGTTCCTTTTCATCCGCTGCACGTATTGACGAGTAATTCAGTAGAAACTTCCTTCTAGCAATATGATTAAAGTTATTCAACAGACTTTTATATTTATTCAATAATCATCAATAATATACATAGAGATTAATCTTATATTTACTAAAAATAATAGTAATTCTGCTTTCTACAGAGTATTTCGGTTACAAAAGCTAGAAAATACACAATTTATAATATTTTTCTGTTGCATCTACTATTTTTATAGAGATTCTGTACGATAAGCTGATGCGAAATTACGGGTAATTCGCGGCGAGTTGAACAGTAGGGCCCATTTCGGATGGAGGATAGAGATTCGGTCGAGCTTTGAATCGCTTTGTTGCTATATCGATTTCGTACGTGGCACCACGAATGTAATCAGGAGTGATTTTCTCCGACCGAGGAGCATGAACAAATCCCAAACAGATCTAAACAGCACATTGAAGAATTTTCAAGAACGAAATAGGTTCATAGGACATACTTGTTTGCCGATTGTAAACCCATATGCTGCCGATGTAACAAATCCGCAGAATTCACCGTTGCGATAGATTGGTTCTTCACTCCATGGCCTAAAATGACGAGGATTTTGCTAAGAAAAATATCGAAGGAAGATTAAGTTAGTACCATGGATCTGAATTAAGATTATGACCTTCAAGTTGAAATTGAACGAAGCGTTTGTGAATGCCTTCAGCTCGTTGTTTAAGTAGGGCTTCTTTACCAATGAAATTTTTCTAAACAAACGAATCACATATTCCAAATTAGTACGGAGAAATTTGTATATTTAGTTACATCGAACGAAACATGGTATTCTCGGTTTAAATGGAGCGGTGTTGTTTTCTTGTCGATATCATGCCCCCATGATGGATACATTCGTTCGATTCGAAGAGTGCGTTGTGCGAAATAACTAGATTCTTAGAATATAACTCGATGTTGATTCATAATCGACAATCTTACCCAGCATTTATCATTCCATAGTCTTTACCCTGCTCCATTAACATGTCGTACACGCATAATGCATACTAAAAAATCAACAATAGATAATTTTGAGGGTCAAATCAAACCTTACCTCAGATGGGATATATAACATGAAACCATCTTCGCCTGTATGTGTTAGTCGCATAGCATAGATATGACTGACAAAACCAACATCGATCTCCTAGAATGAAATGTACAGTAACAATCTTTGACGATCAAATGTGGTTCATTTACTTGACAAGTCATTCGTCCAAAATCACTGAAATTCTCATCACTTAGTTCACTTAGTAAAAATTTGGCTTTCGGACCGATTACGTTCAAAGCTGTGTAGAGTGAGGTAACATCCGAAAGAAATATTGATCCATTCCGAGGAACGTGTGCTTTCAGCCACTTCATATTCCGAGTTGATTGCGATGTTGGACTTACCAAAAGAAAACTAAGAGAAAAACAACACTTTCAACGAGATCAATCTGCTAATTTACTGATTATCATCGAGACGTATAACTGAACAATCATTTTCGTAACCACCTTGCTCATTCAACATTCCTGTATGTACAATGGTACCGATTGGTTTATCGATATTATCGGCGCACAGTACTTGAAGAAAATCGACCACACTTCGATCAGCTGATTTGAGTTCGTATTTTGTAAATGACGTCATATCGATAACAGCTACACCTCGTCGACAAGCATTATACTCTTTAATGACCGTGTTAAACCATCGAGGTTTACCAAAAGAACCTTGTTTGCTGAGATCGACGAAGTCGACTGGAAAAGAAAACAAAGAAACGCACGTTTAAGTTAAATTGAAAAAACACTGATTTGATGGAATTTGTACGTACTTTTTCCCAGTTCATCAGGTTTGAAGAACAACGGCCGCTCATAGCCGAGCACTTCGCCGTAAGCAGCACCTGCCGCTTGCAATTTCGGATGCAATGCTGAAACACGCAGTTTTCGTCCTGTTCGATACAATGACATACCATAAGTTGGATATTTCAATGAATATTGCTTTCCTATAAGTAAATTATGACCTATACAGAAATGTATAGAGCAATTATGAGAACTTTACCTGGTATTTCTCGAAGACGATCCTCAAGAAATCGTTTATTCGTATGTAAACGCATAAACCGTCGTATATCCACTGGCCAAGTGCTTAAATTTGTATTTCCATGATAGATCAGTTCAGCAATATATTTGCCCACTCCGCCTGCGAGTGCGATTCCATTACCGTTTGCTCCTGATGCAACAAAATAATTATCAATCTAAACACCTTCGTTAAAGTGAATAGTCTTCATTTGGCTCTTATTACTTACCTCAGCGGATTCGTTCATAATTAATCGACCGTCGGGTGTATAACTCTCCGCACCGGTTATTAGTGTTTCACACTGGCTCTCTTCTAGAATAGGAAATCGTTTGATTGCATTGCTCAATATCCAGTCTAGAAGGAATTGATTTCTGCATGAAATCATGATCGGTCAACAAATGAACTTACGGAAATCATCCCAATTCTCGGGTAGTAATGAAAAATGAAATGTATCCGGGACGCCATTTGAGAAAATAGGTTTCGACTGTCTTAGAAAGCCGCCGATTAGAACACTACGGTCGGCTAATGGTTGAATATAGAAACGTTCTTCAGGATTATGTATTGTAGGAACATCATCAGGAAGTTTTCCAATCGGTTTTGTTTTCATACAGATGTATTCTAAATTATATTCATTAGATAGAAACAATGCATTCGATGTGTATTTCAATCGTATGATTACCACAAGCTTGAGTAGGAATTCGTACACTTGGTGATGCTTGAAATCCAAGTTCACGTGCCCACTAAATTGTACAATTAGGATTTACTTATGCAAAAGAGAACAGTAAACTTACTATTCCAGTACAATTAATAAATATATCACATTTTATGTTGCCTTTGGATGTAATCGCACCTGAGACACGGTCCGACTGACTACTACTTTGTTTTTCAGTAAGAATCTCTTCCACCGTGCAATCTTCGATGATCTTAACTCCTAGAGAAGAAAACTATGTAAAAGAAAAATTTGTTTAACACTTGCTTTACCTTTGACTATTGCCAATTGAGCAAGTGTTAAAGTTAACGAAACAGGATCAACCATAAAATCGTTGGGCATCCACAGGCCACCCTTTATTTAGATTTCATATGTGATTTAGAACGAGTTACATTGATTTTTACTATACCCAAATTTCATGTGAATTGATAATGGGCACTTTAGCTTGTAGCTTTTCATGATTCAATATCTCGCAATTTAATCCCAATGCATTCGTAACACTATATTGTCGTTTTAATGTATGAAGACGATCAGCTGTTTGCGCAACCCATAAACTTCCCTTTTCGTCGAAACCTATGTACAGTACACATAGTACAACGATTGCAAGCAAATAAATATACCTATAGTATGCCCCTCTCTATGCAACTGTTCATATAGTTCTCTTGAGCATTTTGTGAAATGTGTTTCCACTACTGTTTTCTGTAAATGCGTCACTTGACCAGAACTCTGCCATGTTGAACCGGATGCTAATCTGTATTTCAAAAGAGAATTTCAGTCGACTGTTTCCTTTCTCCAATGGTGTTTTACTTTGCTTTTTCAACGAGCACAATATCTTTCACGCCGATGTGACTGAGATGATATGCAACTGATTGGCCGATGATACCGCCACCGGCGATGAGTATATTACATGAAGATGGAGGTTGTTCAGTTAATATTAAATGCGGAGTCGGATGAACATGATGAGGAACTGTCGGAGATTCATGTGAAACTAAACGATGTGGAATGAAGCTCAAACATGAAAGAAAAGTTCTGTTTTTCAAACAAATATTGCGGCAAGTAGATAGCTTATGCTGCAGCATGTAAGCCTGCAAGCATCTGAAAATGCAACTATCTAAATACAAAAAGAAAGTATTTGTATTATTAATTGATAAAAACTAATTGTTCTTATGGATACAGGAAGGAACGAGAGAAAAAGAAAAGGACAAAATAAAACGGTAGAGGACTAGGATATATTCATGATTTTGAGTCTATTGGATGTTAAGATAAAGAGGAAATTTAATGATCAGCTTTTTTGCCCGATTGTTTTTTGTCCGCTTTGGCTTTTTTCGGTTTTGATGATGTACGATTTGAACCATTGTATTTTTGTAAATTGGACATGATGTAGATTGGATAAATCATTGGTACAGCCAGAAACAAACCTAATGCGATTAATTTCTCCTGAAAGAATAAAACAGAGAGTATAGAGAACAAAGAAGAAGATAATTCGAAGTTTACTGAATTTGTCACTTTATTAAGTGGTGGACCAGCAATTAAAAGTGCGCTTCCGTTACGACGTGGCATCATCATTAGAGCTTGACGTCGAACGACTTGAGTCAAAAGACCAGACATTGTGTTGAAAATTTGTTCAAAGTGCAATTATCTGAAATCACTCGAGTTACTGTTGCAAACAAAATAACGTCTAAGAATTTCCTGGAATCTATGCTAGAAGAGAATGATCCCAACCTTGAGGTTGAGAAAATCATCATAATTAGTTCTATTTTATATTTAGAATGCGTCCTTTTATCGAACACATCGCCTGCATTCGATATAAAACATCACTCGTGCGATGGATTTTATCAGTGTTCTCAAAATCTCTATACAATGGTTATTTATAGTCTTGTTGATGCTGCCAAAACCGAAGAATGCTTATGATTGTAAACAATACTTTATGGTTGGTGATTGGTTAGAATTTTTTCTTGATATTCAGCTCAAATTATAACTTTAGTTTTTGAAAACCAGTTAAATATGTAAACCGAAATACATTTTTATCGAAACGACTGGCGCCATCTTCTGATTGGAAATTGCAATTCTAACCAATCGCAATGTCGCGAACGACGTGTGTGTGTGTGCATGTAGGACAGATACACACATCGTATAACATTTACGACACAGTAAATCTTGCGCAAGTAGATTTCCTTTCTAAGGGTTGGATGGATGAAGAACTAAGTGTGTTAAAATCCATTTACTTGGACGATCTAGAAATCGATTCAGGTGACCCAACCACGGTCACGATTACAATCTTTTCCAACGGTGATGAAAACGATCTTGATCAAGATAAACGACTTCTACGTATAACATTCGTTGCTGAACTCCCGTCAACATATCCTGACACTGATTCGCCTAAAATAACACTTTGTCGCTCGCGTGGTTTGACCGATGAACAACTAGATGAATTGAATTCATCCATTGCAACTTGCCTTCAGTCGAATCTTGGCTCATGCGTACTCTACGAATGTATTGAATTAATTCGCTCAAAATTATCTTCATATGATCTTCCATTTGAATCATGCGCCATATGTTTAACTCTGATGACAGATCGGAATGAAATCATTAAAACGAACTGCCATCATTTTTATCATAAAACTTGTCTTAAACCTTATGTTGATATGCGGAAGACAGAATTGGAAGAAAAGTATCGTGAATTGAAGAAAAATGGTTTCTACATTGAACGAGATTTCCGTCAAGATATCGAAGATCCTGTATGTCGACAAATTCTTTCCAGTCACGTTATCGAACAGCTACCAGATACTTCGACTATCGAAACAGTGTCAAATGAAGAACATCAAGAACTAATTCATCAACTTTCACCACATGTTCGACAATGGCAAGAACGTACACAAGCACTTTTCCAACAACAAAAAGAGAAAGGAGGCATCATCGATCTTGATAAGAACCAAGAAATGATATTCACTTGAAATAATTTTCTATTTTTTTATGTTATTTATTTGTTTTTCTTCAATATTTTTCGCATTGAAGTCGATCTATATATACATTAAAAAGAAAAAGGTTAAATATGTTCTGTTTTTTTTTCCTGTTGAACATCAATGCGGCGATCAAGAAACATTTCGCTTTTATTTTCTTTATTAATTCTTTGTGAGAACACCACATTCAAATGGTTAATTTAAAATGTCCCATAGACTACTCAAAGTATATCCCTGTGGTAGTTTTTCTATAGCCAAGCCAAGTTCTTCCGAATAGACAGGCTCACGATCACGTTTACCCGTATCCGTCAAATAGGTCTGCATAAAAGAAGTCAATAAATATAGAAATGGAAAGTATTAATGACTACTTACAGCGTATGAATCTGTATGTTCTCGACTTTGTAAGATTTCGATATCATCAACTAGACTTTCCAGACGCGTGGCTGGCTGATCTGGTTGTTGTTCTTCGATTGAATACTCAACACCAAATTCCGGATTGGCGAAATAGCTAAGAAAAAAGAAATATATCGATGATGGTCAGCAGAATTCTCCTTCTTCAATCTACCTTTTGTGAAGGGTAAGAATTTCTTTGTGGACTTCTCGAAGTTTTTCCTCAGGTGCTATTTGAAAACCGAGCAAGTAGTTTCCACTCTGATAATATCGAAAAATCATCGTACTTCCTGTAATAGATTACAATGCTCTTACGTATGGCGTTGTTTCAACAACGAGTGCAACACCGAATTTCGAATCGCGAATTTTGATACTTTTAGTTTGATAATACGGTACACTAACATTAAAGTTTTCATTCAGTTCTGCATGCCATATGAGACGAATGTCCGTGATATGAAAGATACCCAGATTACCCTTGAGAAATAGAATAAACCATCATGATTTTTCTTACTTTTCGAAAAGAAATGCTAGAATTATACTTGATCAGAAGATAGGTTCCATACTCCATTGTATCGACTATGCAGACGTTCTTTTGGTAGAATACGTAGTTGACCTTTGTTAAGTAATGACGATCGAAGGCGAATTTCACGATAGAGACGACTTGAATCATAAGCTTTATGAACAGCGACGATTGAATTGAGCATTGCACTTGAACCAGTAATCAAATTTGTAAAAATGAATTCATAACGTGATGAACCTGATTTCGTTAAGAGATAGACTGATTCTGTGCTTCCACGAAGTTTCTTCGAAGAGAAAAACATGAGAAGTGAGAAAGTTGTCTGAAACTATTCATACCGATTTGGCATTTCGAGCGGTGATAGTAACGAGTGCATGTAAACCAATAGCTTATAAAGAATTCTTAAACTAGAATCAAGTATTTCATTCAGAATAGTAAGCTTACAAAGATTGGTACGCGTAGAGGAATGACTATGCCAAATGAGACGAATATTAGTTATGATAAGTTTTCCTAGACGATAAAAAAGCCGCGATTTTCTAGTATTTGCTAAATGTATTTCCTATAGTCATGAAATTTACCCTTATCGCCATTGTTTCCTTTGGTATCCTCGACTGAACTAAGTGTGTCGATAATAAATTCACCAGATCGGCACTTGATGTCACTGAAAATAAATCAACATAGATGTATGCATTGCAAATACGTACAAGCAATGCAGTTACTTTGGTGGCACATCGAAGCGAATCTCTCGATCGTACCACACAGCCATGTTTGCTTCTTGGGTTGCAGATGCCATGACGTCTTTTGGAACTTCTGAACTTTCGATCGTATGTTTTACTCTGATGAAATGCGATGATATTCTGACTTGTCAATCAGCCATGATGTTCAAGAAATTCAGAGAGGTTTCTTCTCTCCCATGATACTCTGTTCTTTTTCTTCTTATTCACATTACAGATGTCACTTTGTTCTTGTTCGTCATGTTTGACAATTCCATCGTTGTCATCGTCGTCGTCGTCCAAATGGAGTGAATCTAGCGATTCTTATCGGTTAACGTCGTCATCTTCGATCACAACTGTTTCGACTTTGTCGAATAATTTTCCTCAGGTGAACTTTTTGAATTCGATACTATTTTGTCCACTCATTCAGAGATAATCTTTTAGGAAGAAAATTGTACAAATGAGGATAATGACGATAATAACGGCCAACAATGGGTGTTTGCAACAGCAAAAACAGCTCAAAATTGTCATATTGAAAAGAATGTAGGTCTTTCTGAACAAATACAACTCGTATTTCACGAGAACTCTTGCTTTAGGTATCTCTACAAGATCAACCAGATAAGAAAAACAGCTGTATACTCAAAGCAATTATGACACAAAAGCAAATTGTTATTTCTGATTCATCTACAACTCGATCGACAATCATTCCAAATAAACATCTCTCCATGAAAGTAGTATTCCATGTTTAATCATTTAAATTTTCGCTTTTTAAATCAAGATGTAGATTTTGTTTTCGTATGTGAACTTTAATAAATCGTGTAATCTCTTTTCTCTCTTACTGATGAACATATTCTATATAATATCTTTTTCTGAAGATGAATTGAGTTGCGAAGCTTCTGAAATACCTGATGACTTCAGATGTGTCAGAATCCAGTGCAAAACAGGTTGACACAGAAGAAGAGTAAGATATGCATGTTATCCTGTTATCAGCGTGTTTTTTTAAATAAATATACGACAGTCGACAGCACGGCGCTGACAATGGCGATCTTTCGATGTTTTTACATCAGTATCTGTCTGCTTTTTACTTTCAATCAGTGGCATTCGCTTCCAATTGTTCCATCGAATATACAAACTAACCCATTGACACCGTGTGAATTGTGTAACATTCTACTACCTATTGCCAAAGGTCTCATTGCAATTAATGAATCATCACTGATCGAAAAACTGGGTATAACATTATGTCAATATTTACATCTTGCCGATGATGCAGTCTGTGCTGGTATGATTGATGAATACAATCCTGTGCTGATCGAAGTACTTCGCCATAGTCCGTTGGCGACACATGAGATTTGTGGCGTTGCTTTTGGATGTATGCGGCAAGCAGATATTCCTGCTCTTCAATGGAATGTCACTTTTCCTCCATCGACTGTGCAAATCTCTTCCCCGGACATGCGGTCACATGCTCAAGCAACCATTTCGATTCTTCATCTGGCTGATCTGCATATTGATACAAAATATACACCTGGTTCAAATGCGAATTGTGGTCGACCGCTCTGTTGTCGCGATGGCACACCAAAAGCAGGTGAAATTGGCGCCCAGTTTTGGGGTGACTATCGCACATGTGATCTGCCGGCATGGACAGCAGAAAACATGTTAAAGTATATTGGTCAAGTAGAAGAGCGTATTGATTTCATTTATTTCACTGGCGATATTGCACCACATGACGTTTGGCAACAAACGCAAGCGAAAGATCTCGAAGAAATATCTTTTACTACTCGTCTATTGAAACAAACATTCCCGAACAAGAAAATCTATCCGTGTGTAGGAAATCATGAAGCGGCACCACCGGATCTGTTCTCAACTATCGATATGTCTTGGCTGTATACAAATTTAGTTAATCAATGGATCGGTCAATTTGGCTTAGATGAACGTACACGTGATACAATACTCAAAGGAGGTTATTATACTACAATGATTGCAGCAAATCTTCGGTTGATATCTTTGAATATGAATTATTGTACAGAGAATAATTATTGGCTTTTTATCAATTCAACAGATCCTCTCGGACAGTTGAAATGGGTATGTCACCTTCGTTGTCGAATCTTCTATAGTAATGAAAACGTTCTCATGGATCTTGTAGATGATTCAATGGCTGCAGTATGCTGAAGATCATCAAGAAAAAGTTCATATTATCGGACATCATCCGCCACGAATGTGTATGGTATCATTCAGTTGGGCATACTACAGTATTGTTAATCGATATCAAAACACAATAACTGGCCAATTCTTCGCTCATACTCACAACGATGAATTCATGCTCTTCTATGATGAAAAAGATTCTAAGCGACCAGTAAGTTCAGTTCGAACGGTCAAATTTCAAGAATAGCTTATATTTTCTTCGAAGATTTCTGTTGCTTATATTTCACCGTCATTCACAACCTATCCCAATCTTAACCCAGGGTATCGAGTGTATACAGTCGATGTAAGTGTCACATTAGCTCTAGATACAAAAAACCATCATTCAACGCATTTCTTAGGCTACTAATACAACGTATGTATTAGATCACCGTACTGTGATTCTTAATCTGACAGCTACAAATCTTTACAATACTACGAAATTTACAACGGAATACTCAGCCAAATCAGCGTATGGAATGAAAGATCTTTCGCCTCAAGAATGGAATCAATTGATCATACGTGTGGAGAATGACATTGAAGGTGAAACTATGGATTTAGTTTATCAGTTCTTTATGAAATCATCCACGGCAAGCAGTCCCTGCGATCGAACATGCCGAATGAACTTAGTTAATTGTAATTTCAAAACGGCTCGAGCACAAGATACGACCTTTTGTACAAATAATATTTCGATATATTCTCCTACTTGAATTTATTTCAATAAGAAATGAAAATAAAACAGACAATCTTAAATACACATTCTTCCTTGTTTTCAGTGCACATCTGACCAGATCTATTTCGTTCCATTATGCACTTCGTCTTCTACCCAAGTTTTGATCCATTCATACATACTTCTCAGTTCATCCTTATCGCAACGAAAAGAAGTCAATCAATGCAAATCTATCGATTTATACTTACTTCTGTTCGAAATGTAGGACAAGCAAATGCAATTTTCCTTGCTTGATGAGATATATCAGCAGTATTATCAATACTCATTTCTTCCATTAAATTTGCTAATAAACATGCAATAGCACCATCACGTACATCACTAGAAATCAAGTTCACATCTATAGATTGACTCAAATCTTTCAATCACATACTCAACACGTATGAGAACAGGTAGATCATTGTCCATATCCAGATTAACTAAAAGCTGAGCTAACCGGTGTAGTGGAATACTTCGAATTGAAGTAATTGGTTGATAAAAGAAAGTTGTCGACTATGCAGATGATGAATCCATATTTTACACAGACAGCTCGAAATTTCAGCTTACTTGTTCATTATAATACCGACGAAAATCAGTCGACACAAAATCACTATCCAATGATAATCGTTGTTGTTCAATGAAACCCGCATCCTTTCATTCCAAATGAATATGCTAGCGCAAATGTTCAAAATGAACTTACGACATGACTGCTATGTTGAAATAGAAAACAGTGTCGAATTTCACATTGTAATATGATTTTTATGAGACTTTGACGATCTTGAACAATGGTTAAAACAAAGACTCTCGAGTGTAAATAGCTCTATTACAATTGCAATAACTTCAGAAACCAAAATTTACAATGAAGGACAAACTTACATCGATAAAATACACCGGACAACGATTGATGACTATCGATCGGCAAGATTCATTTATATTCAATGGAATGATTGCTTCTAGTTCTTTCAAACTATTCGTAGTAAAGGACTACAAACAATCTTGAACATGTTTAACAAAAACATATCAGCCAAGAAGACTTACTTGCAACATTTCGACAAATGAATTTTGATAATATGAACCAACTCTAGTTTGAAGCAGTCGACTAATCTCTTCATTTAATCCTTGAAATGTTACCACATCTGGAGAGTAAGTCCAAGCAGATAAATGAAGTATTGCCATGTATACTATTTTCAGCACTTCCTAAATATTTACGTATATGAAAATCTAAATGTAATTGTAACCCATCTATCCTACTGAAGTCATAGTGCATGTCGGCAACTGTTTATCCAGTTGGGTAATCGTATTCGGTACATTAATAAAGCCATATCTGTGTAGCAAACGTCGGTTAATATCAATCGCCATATACGCTATCGCAGGCGTGTCGATTCCGCTAAGGAAGAAGGTAGTTTTATAGATCGAGTAAAAGAAGATTGCATTACCGACTATGAATAGCGATTATATTTGGACTCCCGTCATGAAGTCTTTCTTTTTTCTCTTTCTCGTTCACTTGATACTGTAAACGCAAGAGAGAAACAGGATCTAATCCAAAAGTAGCTTCTGACCAGTTTTTCACTTGAAATAGTTCAATATCACGAGTTTCTGTTGCACCAATCTAATCAGATTCAACGCATAGTTTTCATCAATTAATTCAATGGTCCTACCTTTTGTAATTGAAATTGAATAGTCTCAGTATCCAAGCGCTGCAATCGTTGAACTAGGTTAATCTGATACTTTCCCTCAATAGTTAGTGACGACCTAGTTTCATCGGGCCAATATCTTATAAGAGCATCCTATTCCACATAAACATGTTTCAATCCGTTAAAGATTACAGACAGTTTCCATACCTTATCCTTGATTTTGTAGAGCATTATAATCGATGATATATGGTAATTCCATATAGTATTCCAAAAGATTGAAAGATTTGATTGTTGCACAACTAAACAGAAATAATAGGACGTTTTTCTTTCGCTCGAAGAATCCTACCGTCAATTAACAAATAGTGAGCATCCATTTGATTATTTTCAACAGTATTAATTTCAATCGTGTAAGTTTGAAGATGATGAAATGCACTAATTGTTGGTACGATTGATTGTTGATCTGAACGAATGGGCAACTAGATTATAGTAAAAACAATGTCGTCATTTCTACCTAAAGATACTGGAGTTGCCTGACGATATGCTGTGACTTGCTGATCAATACCACGATAGTTATTTGCTGCTAAATGATAGACATGCTCTCGAATTTTCTGTGCTGGTACAATCAGTGTATTGCTCAACAAAGTTGGACGTATCTTTTTATAGATCTGCTCCTGCTTTTCATAATGATCGGCTTCGTACAATTCGCTCCAATTGACTCTAATATTATCATCAATAAACAAATAATTATTGAATGTAAAAGAAAGATTAGTTACGGTGGTCTTAAAGGGCCGCACCATGATTCCATTAGATTTTGGCATCGTGAGCCATGCGGAAGTTCATTTCTTTCCAAATGTTTTCGATACCGCATCTAAGAACACAAGAACGTGACTTGATACTCGAAGTATATATCGGAGAACTCACATCATCTCTCGTTGTTATTCCATTCATTGCTAAACCACAATGGTAGCACCAGAACGAAGCAAGTGTAAACATCAGGAAAAAGGCAACCACAGCAATGAAAAAACTCGGAATATTGTACGCAACGTAAACTCCTGGGTTATCTTTATACAAATCCCATCGAAGATACGCTGCTACACCACTATCAATTAATCCGAACAAACACAAAATTGAACAGGATAGAACGAAATTACAAAAATAACGGTAATTCAGTAAACCAACGCAATTATTAACTAAATGACAGAACTGAACCATCACTTGCTGATTAATATGGAAATCTTACTCCAAGGACAATGATGATCAAAGTTTTGCACGCAAACATTGCAAACTGAACAATGGGAAACACGAGGCAATCGATAAGTTCGACATGTATAACAATAAGAAGATGAATAGGGAAAATTCCGCACAAGAACAGTTGTTGGCGGTGGTACCGATGGAAAGTACTTCCCATTTCTAAGAACAGAAAATTTGATTATAAATGTCATTAAAAATTCAATAAACAATTTACAAATCAGTTTGAATATTATGCTCTTTTTCTATGCGAAGGACTTCATCCGCATCTGGTCGTGGTATTACACCAGGATCATGTAAGGCAGCGAACAAATAATTTACTACGGTGTAAAAAAGTGCCAGAGAAAGTAGAATTGGAAAGTAATAATGACGATTTCTAATCAGTATTGGGAAGCTAATATGTAAAAAAAAGAGCACAAACATTTTCTCTTGCTTTATCGAAGAAAATATCCTCACTCCCAACCAATGTGTAGTCCAGCTAGAACTACAATCAGACTGAGAACACCGGCAACTACACCCCAGGATCTGTACGTCCAACAGGTACAACAACATGAAATTGCTTTACTCGGATAGATCTGAATTTTGATGTGAAACGTTGTTTTCTTCGAAATCAAGCGACTGAAACTTACTTTTCCTCGACGCATGCTCAAAATGTTAGTCTTTGAAATTAATCTGCAATCACCAATCAATGTATATACGCTGTACTTCCTTGCTGTCAACAAACACCATTGTGTTGGCAGGCGCTGTAAGAATTAGTAACAAAATTGTTTTTTTTAATATTCTTTCTATTTACTTCATTTGACAACTAGCGTATGAAAAATTTTGTCTGTTCTTTTTCTTTGCACGTTGTTCCTCGGCTTCTACTCATAAAAAAATCGCATTCTTATGTAATAACAAGGTTATTTTTTAAATGCACGGAAAGAATTCCAAAAAAAAACAAGTTCCATGAGTAACACTTTAAGCTCTACATGATTTCTTACTCAGTCGACTAAGTTATACAAATAGTCAACAGATTACAATTTGCTTTTTATAATTCATAATCATTACTACAAATGTGTGTTGGTACGATTTTGAACATGATATCGATTCATTCAGACAAAACTTTCTACTAATGAAATAACATAGAATATGACGTCATTTCATTTTTCATTCACATCTGACAGTTCACTGGATAAGTATGACCAATTGCGTACATGCAATTCAAACTGTATGTAAACCAATGTATCATCTTCTTCACCGTCTACATTCAAATTTATCTTTTTACTGAGTAAAATCACGTGCTGCAATTAATATAATCCTCAGCTGACTACATTTTCACGCAGATGTTCTCGTTCATGTCTATTTTCATACAACTTCAAAATTTCATAAACATCCCGTGATTCTTTCTCTTCAAGTTATTGTTATAAAAAACCAGATGGTCACGTACATTAACGTTCTGTTCAACCACTTCAGAATTTCTTCGAAATGCACTTTAATTAATCCAAAAATAAGTAGACATGACTAAGAATGCCTTTAAATAGTTTACTAACACGACTATTACTACAAGTAGTTAATTTTTCGACCTTGGCGTCTTGAACATTCGTGTGGAAAATATTGTTTATCCCGCAACTATATTTAACTCAATGTACTCGTGACACATTCAGATCGATTGGTGGCACACAGCTAAACACGGAGTTTACAATGTCAACCGTCTTCAAATTATGTGCCATTAACCGAAACTGCAAACGTTGTGATCTTCTGAAAACGTATTAGAAAAGAAAAATGTCGTCGAGAAGTTGTCTTTCAATGCATGACAAGGTAACACACGACAAGCATTTGTATTCGGAGCCGTGAATTAAAGTGCCATAAATCAAAGAGACAAGTGAAGACCTACCTTTGTCGAATGGAGTTTAGCTTGTGCAGATTTTATAATTTGACTATGATTCTTTAGTGGAAAACATGCCTATTTATACTCTGAATTATGCATAACACTTAACTTTCATAAGCCAATGAGAAAAAGAGGAAGAGAAATTATTATCTCTCTCTCTCGTCTTCTCTGTTCAGAGAGAAAGGGAAGAGAAAAAGTGATCATTTCACACTTATCCAATTGGTTATAGATGACAGATGCATTAATTGGATAGATCCCCATGACGCAATAAACAGCTTGTACAAATGCGATCGAAACAAATTGGTAACATCGAACAAAACAGTTCTCACTTCTCTGAAAGTTGTTTATGTTTTTTGAACATCGTTTCACACAACAACTACACAAAACCTAGTGCATCATGACAGATATGCTGTCTAAAATCTCATATACAAAAGTTTTTCAATACGAATTCTGTCTAGATTGAAAACTCTTGCGTCACTCATTTCGGAGGATCTCAATGTTCGTCATCAAGAATGACATAAGCCAATTTCTATTTAGATAAGCAATTCGTTTCAACCTGCTGCTTTGAGATAATTCAATTACTTCAGACCGATTGCACACATACATGCATATGACATTGCACTTGTCAGTTGAATGATAATATCATATGATACGCTGGGAAAAGAAGAAGACATCATGTGTAATCTATCATCACCTATTCACATCTATTTGCTAGATCAACAATTTCAAATCGATGTAGAATACATGTTGTGCTCTCTTTTTCAATTTCATGTATGAAGAGTCAAAAGATCAAAACAAAATTGATATTGATCAGTGATCATACTTCTTAGAGATCTCGAATTTTTCAAGATATGTCTTTACATCTTGTTGATCAATTTAGAGAAGATGTGTGATCAATTAGGCGCAACGTAGCCGCCGAGTAAACTAGTCATTTGAGATGAAAATCGTAGCGTCCTTTTTGTTTTCGTTTGACATGCCATGAAGCAAGCTGTTACTTTTAAGACAATTTGTATCGGTATAGAACTGTTTACAGATAAATCATCACCGTGATGAATTCTGTTTCTTCAATTTGAAACAGCTTGTTTGTAGCGGCTTCACTTTATCACACCTTCATTTTCCGATATTGGATTTCAAGGTGTACACCAGCGTTTTCTCACGAGGCAGAGACACCCATTTGGGAATCACTTCTGAAGTAAAGTGCAATTAGTCAGCTGAGGCGTTTTCGAATATCGGATTCTCTTTAACTATTGAATTTTCATACGGAAAACTGTTTTTAATTTGAAAGGAATTTGTGACATTATTAAATGATAGAGCATCTTGAAGTCATATCTAAGAACTTGAGGATGGGTGAAACTATGAGCAATGGAGTAATCTTGGTGTGAATCCATCGATCGCTTTCGTTATCAAGAGACCTGTCTCGATGAACGGTGCGTCTGCGTAGGCAAGCAGAAACAATATTCTCTACATACTAATCTTTGTTCTGTATTACAAAACTCACCAAAATGAATCTGTCGGTATACATATAGGTTGACAATATGTTTGCATATATAAACATGAAAAAAAGAAACTAAATTTATTGACACACATGATCTCGCATGTTTTACAGTACTTGAGTAGTTGATAGTGGTGATAAAAAAGTTTGTCGTAGACAATTTGATCTGCTCGATTATTTGAAGACATCAAAAATTTCTTTTAGAAACAAACGTTTCTGCTCTGAACATCCGATCTCGTAGAAAATGAAAATCGCAGGAAGAATCTACGTAGTATTCGCATTCCGTATGATCGACTATGCTTTAATTCGAAAGCAATTTTCAACTGGCTTTTTCATCTAAAACGGAGCTGATCTTTGTAAAACTCAACAGCATCGATTGTTTTTACAGTTATTTTTATTCAAGTGCCAAATACACATCTATTACAATTTTAAATATGACATAAAATCAGTCACATGAAAAACAAGAATGGCCTTGAACAACTGCTCAGTCTATTCTCGTCTAACGATGAAAGATGGCTTATCCACGATTGAATACGTTACAAAGCAACCGTAGCAAAATAAGGAATACGATTGGTGAAGATTGATACTGTTTATCCAGTTCAGTATGAATTCGTCTAATTTTTCACTGTATTCAGAGTCATTGGTATATCGTTGATAAGAAGAATGTATCGAACAGATACGGGAAATTAACGATGAGTAAAAGCACATTTAAAACATTACTAAACGAACTTTTACTGATAATATTTACTTGTTTATCATCAGTTGATCTCTGTCAAGCTTTTATTTACATAAACAATCCTCACATTAGTCATTCACTTAAACGTTACTTTAATGCATCATGATCAACTGCATCTATGGCTTAATAGTAATCCGAATCATCGAAATCTTTCTACTAATTTAATAGATACTTTTATATTCGATTACTCAAGTGCTTGTGGGTTGCTACTTGAATATTGGAGAAAGAGTTTCAAGCAAAATGGTCACTCTAATTTACTCTTCCCATCGATAAAACGTATTTTTTGCACTAGAAGTGTAATGCGCTTCATATAGTCTGTTTGGATCAATATTAAAGCCTTTGGTCTTTGTTAGAGTAATCGGCTTGAGACGATTCGATCACGGCAAACATATTTTAAAAAGCATGTTGATTGTTCCTTTTACGTTAGGAGCAAGTGAATCATTGTTATTGATGTTTCGGTTGATAATGCAACAGTACTGTTCGAAATTGCAAAAATTTTATCGAGAAAATTAAAGATCTTTACAAAACAGCAAGCACGATTATTAGCTAATAGTCAAGATAGATCTCAGATAAAATTTTTTTCATGTTTCATTAAAAATGCAATATCATTATTTCTTCATACTTTCCTATGATTACTCATCTATCAACAGAACAAACAGTTTTAATCCCCTGTGCACTGAGTGTCTTGTATACTATTTCAACTGAAGGAAAGATTTGTCGTAGTTGATTTTGTTGATAATTTCTGTTTGTATTTGTATAAAAGACACACGTTATGAATTAATGAAATCAATGAATGACCGTCGATTAACAAATGGCTTGTCGATCCAATAAGATACTGACTAACTTAAACCTTTCTACTATACATACGCGTCGACCTATCATCATGTAACTATTATCTAATGTTAATTTGTAGGATGATGATGACGACGACGAACAGGTTCTTTCGCTGCTGAACAAGACGTGGCGTCTCAAGGATGACAAAACAGTCGTAAATCGAATTCGTCATTTACATTCATTCACAAGGTCATGTTCTTGCTAAACGACACATTTGTTCAGGTGAAGAGGGGCAATGGTTTTCACGTGCCAATTCTTGTCATGTTTTATCAAATTTATCAAAAGAAACTTGTTCTGATCGAAATATCATAAATTATCCCTGCTATGGGCTAGTACACACTTCCACATACAAGCAGAATTTATCTTAGTGGATAAACGATTCAGATAATCCATGTTGTTAGCGTTCCACGGCGAGTCGGAGAAGATTTTATGAACGGACGGAATATTATATATTTATATATGTACACGAAGGCAAGGATCACACAGCTAAAATAAATTTGACATATACGAATAATGTAAAAAAAACTGCAAAGAACACATGTTAAAGGTATCATGGAATGTTCAGGCCACTGTTATAAATGCTTTGATTTGTCGATGTGGAAAGACTATCGTTTTGAGTTACTGTTAGTGCTTCCATTTGTTGAAGAATTGGACGGATCAGAAGGTAACTGTTTACGTGTCGAGGGAAGTGTACGTTGCTTAGAAAGGAATGATT